TAAGTGGGAGAAACCAGGATAAGAATCCAGATTTGTCTGAAACTCATATGTATGTTTTTTCTCTTATACCTCACCACAGGAGAGTGTTCCAGGAGTGGGGATACCCAGGGTAAGAGGATACCCAAGGTAAGGTTTGGGGGGAAAGAGGTCTATGGCACTTTGATCCAATGTGATGGGTCTGGGTATGAGATGCCATTCTTTCATCTATTAATACCTTCTTTATAATTAATGATGCCAGCACCCTTGGGAATAGTAGCAGTAGGTACATCCCTCAGATTTGAGCCTCAGGGTCTAGAGAGAGCTTCCTGAGGATGCAGACACAAAGAATCAGGGATGCACCTCAACCTTTAAACCTGTCCCACTTGAGGTCAGGGGCCACCTGGATTGGTGCTAGTTTGCTTTATTTGTATTCTAGCTCTATGAAGATGGTGACCTAGTTTCATCTCCTTTAAATCATTTGTGTTGCTCAGAGGTCTAAGGACCGGCCACTCACCTCCTGCTGTGCTGCCCAGTTCCTGCTAGTGGCCACTGTATCCAAATTTGGGGAGCAGAACCCATTGTCATCACCAATTCTTTTAATCAATGAAAACCAAAGATCACTAATTAAATTTATATCTGTATGAATTGTATGCAGCACTTTGGCAAGTGATATACAGATCTACCTGTCTTCAAAGAGTTTATAAACCATGTCATCTATGTAAATAAGCCCAAATTACAGGTGTTTTCTGAAAACATAATGAAAATAATATTAGACAACACAAAATAGACTTAGGAATTATTATTTTATACAGATATTTTGATAATAGAAGAGTCTTAGATACTACTGCCCTAAAAATATCTTAAAACACTACCCATAAGACTATATTCCTGCTTAATTCCTAACAAATTGAGAAAAACTTTCAGCCTAGCATTCCAGGTCCCAGCAGTGTGAAGGTCTCAGCCTTCATATTTAGCTGTATACCCCATCTTCCCCACATACCACTCTTAAAAACAAGACTAACCTGATTGCCGTTTCAAGAGTACAGCCTGCATTTGCTGCCTCCACTGGGTTGTTCACAAAGCTGCTTCTATGATGTCCTGACTCAAATTCCATTTCAGCCTCTCTTTCAAGATACATCTCAAATACCGCCATCTTCCCCATGAAGCCTTTCCTCACTCCTCCAGACAAAAATTATTTCATCCTCTTCTGAACCACAAGAGGTGTTTGCAGTATACACATACATATACATATTTATATATGTATAACTTTTATCATTATTATTTACATTATGATCTTTAATGTGTTTACCTAATTTCCCCAATTAGGCTGTAAATTCCGTAGAATCAGTGACCGTGGTTTACTTCTAAAGTTGCCCTTATAACCTCTACTCTGCAGATATAGTGCTTGGAACACTGGAATTAAATAAACATTTACTGAATAAACATTTACTGAGTTATTATTTTACTACTACTAATAAGGTGAATGATATAGTGACCACTTATGGAGTATCAACTATAGGCCAAGGATGACATTTACATATTATGAATAATTTGATATTCAGAATCCTGTGACTTAGGGCAGCAGTGCCCAACCTTTTTGGTACCAGGGAGCTGTTTCGTGGAAGACAATTTTTCCACGGATGGGGGTGGGGGGAGGTGGTGTGGATAGTTTCGGGATGATTCAAGCACATTACATTTATTGTGCAGCCAAATCTGTCTTCTAATGATAATCTGTATTTGCAGCCGCTCCCCAGCGCTAGCATCACTGCCTCAGCTCGCCTCAGATCATCAGGCATTAGATTCTCATAAGAAGTGCGCCACCTAGACCCCTCGCATGCGCAGTTTACACTAGGGTTTGCGCTCCCATGAGAAATCTAATGCAGCTGCTGATCTGACAGGAGGCGGAGCCGTGGTGATGCCAGCAGTGGTGAGCAGCTGTAAATACAGATGAAGCTTCGCTTGCCGGCCACTCACCTCCTGCTGTGCCGCCCAGTTCCTGATAGGCCATGGACCAGTACCGGTCCACAGCCCCAGGTTGGGGACCACAGACATATGGAATTGAGGCTTGATGAGCTTAAGTAAAATTTTCAAGGTTACACAGCAAGTAGAGTTCCCAAATCTTAACATAGCAGCAAAGTATACTTTGGATCTGAATCCAAATATTTACACTCCAAACCTGAGCCTCAAGTCAACACTATATAAAAGTGATTAAACTCAAAATATATGTTATTTTTAATTTTTAGATAAATAAATTAAGCAAGTATGAAACAAATCCACACATTGTGATAGTGAGAAAGATACTACTTTTCAAAATTACTCTCAAAGATTAGAAATGAGTTTAGAAAATTAAAGATATACATATTTTACACACGCACACAATGAAGAACCTTTGCAATACAAGAAATGTAAGAGATGAGGAAAGAGATTCTTTCTTCGAGGCATTTATTTAGAAGAATGATTTACGAATTTAGGAGTAAACTGTAGAAAAAGCATAGACTTGGGAATTTGATAGACTAGGGTTAGAATTCTGGGTGTAATATTATTAGCTCTGGACCTTGGACAAGTTACTTAATCTTTCTAAGCCTCAGTTTTCTCGAATGCTAGATGACAATAATAATAATTGTTTTCAGAGATAATGCAAACATTAGATGGGCATAAAGTGTATAGAAAGTCTATTAGAGTATCCAGAATAAAGTAATAACTCAACAAATGATGAGTACTATTAATACTATTATTAACAGTATTATTTTATGCCACAGTGAGCATGCTAAGCCAGTGTTCTTGAGAGGAATGGAGAGGCAAAGCTGCCATTACTGTTCCAGCTCCTCACATGGTGACAGAGTGTGCTATTCGTAGGAGTAGAAGGGGAAACAAAGGCCCACAACACAGCTATCCTCCAAAACCCAACACTTTCTTCTCTTTTAACTGACTCCCAAATCCATTTTCTTGTACCCAAAGAACTGAAAGTCAAAACATGGAAACCAAGTTGGATCCTCCCTTTAAAAAAATCCATTCAATTATAGTCTTAATGCCTGCCCTATCAGACATCTCCCCTCCTTCAGAGAATGTGCTCTTGGGAAGCAGAGGAAGTTACATGGCATTTGGCATCAGTCCTATTGGCATACCAACACCATCCCCATCTTTTTTGTTTTCAGGTATTTCTATTTTATTATCTGAGCCTCAGTTTCCTCAAATGTTAATTGGAGATAATATCTCCTGGAAGGGCTGCTAGGAGAAATTATGCAACAGTGACTATTCAATACCCAGCACAGAGTATGCATTCAATAGTGACTCATTCATTCCCTTTCTCCCTCCTAGGTTCCCCCAAAGTGGAGAATCATCAAGATCTGTGGGCCAATGTCTTCTTGTCTCTAACTGGCACCTGCCACATGGATGGATGGTTAGGATCTGAAAAGTGCTATCTCGTTTAAAAAAAGACACAGAATGGTAATTACCAAAGGATGAGTGACAGACAATTTTGATTATGGTTGTGACCAAACCAATGACCTGAAAGTGACAGGTTTTTTTTCTCAAAAAAAAAAAAAACCCTTGAAAAATCTGAGCTAGTTAGTCTCCCAGAAAACATGTGCCTGGAAACCCAGCATCTGCAGAAAGTAAAAAGGGCCCCCAAAAACAGACCAATTCAAATGGAAGAGAGAGAACACAAACATGAAGCTGGATTTGGAGTTTCTGACAAATTTTAGCAAATTACAACATTAAAAAAACAAAGCAAAATATTTTCTGGGGCAAGGTCTAACACATTTCAAACAATTATGCTAGAGCTAATTTGAAGTCAGCTATCACAGTATATGTGATAAAGTTACTTTGAAGTGATCAAGAAATTCGTTGGTTTGTTCATAGAATTCGGTTTTGTGTGTTAGGAATTTTTCATTCTTTTGTAACTTATTAAGTCATTCACCCTAAAAAATCAAAGAATATATGAATATCCAAACCTAATGGACACAACGGATGTTTTTAACATTCATTATTGCAATTTACACATTCAGCTACTGAAAATAAAACTTCATTTTCCCTTTCCTCTTCATTTTCTGATTTCTTATTTGTTATCTACTGAGAGACAGAGAGAGAGAGAAAATCACAGGAAGGGAATTTCCGATACTTTGTCAATATTAAAGGAACCATAATGTAGCAGGTTTTCTAAAGAAACACCACAATTCTCCTAGAAATAACTTTGCATCATATTCACGTGTGTAAATTATGTGATTATCCCAATAATTACATATGTATATGTGTATCTGTATAGTCACATATACAATATATAGTCATACAGATCACACACACACACACATACAGTGCATAAATCCAAAAAGCATTCTCTGTAAGGGTGTAAGAGAAAGGACCTAAACTGCCCAAGAAGCAGAGCAGCCTTTAAACAAATCTGAAGAGCTCTTGTGATTGAGGCACAGCTCCTGCTTTTCAGCAAAGCACTGCTGCTGAGGCCTCTTCATTTAGAAATTCTCGAGTTCTTTTTTATCTATTTGTTCCCTGGTCAGCTCAGTCCCATCGGCACTTTCATCTGAGAGGGAAGGAGGTAGTAAAACGGAAATACGCGCCCCGACTCTGGAGGTGGGAGTCCCTTGTACACCCCAGCAATTGATCCCTCTCTCTTTCTCACCGGCCGCTGCTGCTGCTCTTCCAGGGGCAATGGGAGAGGAGGCGGTCAGTGAAGCAAGGCCACGGAGTGGATGAAGTCAAGATTCACCCCAAAAGCTCACCTCCTTCCCAGCCCAGACCGCCACCTATCTCCTCCTGAGGCTCCCCGCTTCCCTTCCGTCCTCCTTCCAGTCACCCAACACTGCAGCCACCGCGGGGGCTGCAGGGCTTCCTTCGCACCCACCCCTTCTGCGTCCTAGAATGTCCTCTGGGGAAGGGGCTGCCAACAACTTGGAGGAACTTAGAAGGCAGAGGCTGCAGCGCCCCAACCTTCAGAGGGGCCTGACCCCGAAGGCGAGGGGCAAAAGCAGGGCGCGGGCGGCGAGGACGAGCACCCCCGGGCTTACCACGAGCACGGGCACGCCGGCGGCCAGAGAGTAGAGGAGCACGGGGGGCACGGCGCTGCTGTCCTCCGGGCCCGGGTAGGGCTTGCGGTAGGCGCTGTCGTGGCAGAAGAAGCCCTGCACGTTCACAGTGAACGTGTCCGTGTACTCGAAGTAGTACGCCAGCATCACCGTCCCTGCCATGATCACCATCTGGAAATAGAGCATGCTGCTGGTGAGCGCCGCGGGCAGCAGGGGCATGCACGCCTCCCGCGCCGGGCCGGGCCGAGCCGAGCTGGCGGCCGACGCGGCGCCCCCTCCCCGGTCCGCCGAGGCAGCCGCCGGGGGCGCGGCGGCGGGGGCGGCGGGAGGACGGAGCGCGGGAGGAGGATGGAGCCGCTGGAGGAAGAGGCGGAGGCAGGTCCGGGTTTGGAGGCGCGGGCGGGCTACAGAGGAGGCGGCTACCCCCGGATGAGCCCCCACTCCCTTGCCCGCCCCCTGCCCGCGGCAAGCGCCGCCCGCCGGGGCGCGGGGTCGCGCGGGGGGGCGGGGAGTCTCGGACGACAGGCAGTGGCCGCTGAGCCCCCACACGAGACTATTCAGCAGCGCTGGGTCAAGCCCCCAGGCCAGCCCGGAGGAGGCGGCGTGGGCGGACGGGGCGGCGGCACCTGTACGGCTTGGAGGGCGAACGCTGTGGAGCTTGAGAAGCTCTTCGCGGGGGTAAAAACCAAAAAAAGGGGGAAGGGAGGCAGTAGAGATGGAGCTTCTAGAAACTCCCTTCCGAAACCCCAGCTGGGCGGTCTAAGAAACCCGCACGACGCCTGTGAAAATGGTGCGTGGACGCGTCTTCCGAGCGCAAACCCCACCAAAGCGCGAAGTGCTGGATGCGGTGCCGCGAGTCCGGCCGGTGCGTCTGGCCGGCAGTCCCTTGGATTCCTTAACCCCGCGCAGGACGGGAGCCCAGCGGTGGCTTCTAGGCACGGTTAGAAAAATAATCTCAGAGGATTTTAGATTCGGGGTTTCTTTGCCTCCCCTCCAGCTTCCCAGGGCTTTGTATGCAAAAGCACAGAAATCATCCCTCAGTAGCTCCGGAAGCATCATCTCTTGTACAACGGTCCCGGTCCCTTCCTCTTTGCTTGAATTCTCTTGCTCATCTTTTCGGTCTCCCTTTATTAGCTGCTTGTGAGAGGAGGCACTGCAGATTCCTGGGACCCAGCAGTACCAGTCGCCAGGGAAGTGCTATTTGCCATATCTTCCTGTTTATTCCCTGAGTTCCAGGGAACTGCAGGGATTCCTGAAGGGTCAGGTGAGAGGAGAGGGAGACCAACGCAAGCTCACAGCACATGCATGCAAAATACACCCATCCGCGGGTATCCACGCGTATGTGTGGGTACGTAAGTGGCTATGGAACTGCATATATGTAAAGAGCCTGTTCTGTGATGCCAAGTGGGTCCCTGCGTGCAAGCTTAGTCAGCAGACTCTCAAGGGGCCCTTCTTGGAGTCAGTCACTGCTCATACCCTCCACTCCAGTGGGCAGGTAAGGAAGGATGTATACAAGGCAAGGGGAAGAAAATATTCTGACAGCACTGCCCTCTCATTAAAATGTAGAATCACCTTAGCAGATTTGTAGAATGTTAATTCATTTTAAGGGGTTATAGCTTGATGATTTTTAGAGGCGGGTCTTTATCATCAGGAAAAAACAACATTGTTAGACTAAAAAAGGCATTTAAATTTGGCAGATGATTGGTAGTTCGGAGTGCAATAGCGGCAGTGTGAATTTCTTTCATGTAGAATGGGTACTATATATACCTCACCCTCCACATTCTTACATACATCATTGCACAGCTAATTACTTAGAGCATACTGCATAGATGACACTAAGCAATGTGTTTAACAAGCAATTTTGGGCAGTGGGAGAAAACTGTTCTTTAATGAACAAGAGTGACTTACCATATTATGAAAATGTAACTACTACAAAGATACGTGGTTTAAAGCTTCATTCAGAAAATCATTCCAAGACTGTAAGAGTGTTTTAACTGCTCCTTTGGTTCTAAATAGGAATAACCTAAACCGTCCCACTTAATAGAATTTTTGTTAGAATTGTGTTAATTTGTAAGGGTAACTTATTTGTTCAAGCTAATGAAAATGTGCATTATTTTCAAAAATTAACGTGCTCTGTAATGCATTGCGAATGTGTATTGAGTATGTATCGAGTTACTGGACATGTAACGAAGCAGGGGCCATGTCTCATTCACTGCTCCATCTATCCTAAGCATGAACAGTGTGTGGCACATTGTAGGTATTCAATAAATATTTGTCGAATAAATCAATGAATTTACTCCTTTAAGAATAACAGGAAAGTGTTTTCACGTATAAAATTTATCAGCTAGGGAATCACAATTTTTATGCCTCTAGGCAAACACAGCCACATACATAGAAGTGTGGTCACACTGACATAGAAGAATAAGCTCAGTGTAGAGCAGCGACTCTGGTACTGCCTCAGTTCCGATGCCAGCTCTGCCACTTACCAGCTCTGGAAACCTGACCAAGATACTTGACCTCTTTCTGCCTTAGCTTCATCACCAGTAATACTAGTACGCACTTTACAAGGCTGATATAAGGAGTAAATGATGCTTAGTTCATTATGTCTGGCACAAACTGTAAACTTTAGCTTCTGGACGTAAATGTATCTAACCTGCCTTAAGTAACTCAGGTCATTTCAAAATCCATCACCAGTCACTTCCTTCTAATTTTATTACTTACAAATGATTCTGGGTGTACCCGTATTTTTGTAGATGTGTACATTTTTTCTATAGATTTGTGCATATTCTGTCTTATCCTTCAGAAGCTATCTATCTCAGGAATAACATTATTTTCCTTCAGAATTCTAATATGCCCATTATTTATCTGTTTTAGATGGTCAAAGAATGTTGTTGACTAATTGATTCTTGGTTGGCTAACCATCCAATGCTGAAATTCAAAGTTATTGTTGATTCTTATGTTATAAGGACACTACTATTAAATTCACCTTCCATGACTATTTGAGCAGACTGGATATTCATAGAAATGGTTTGGGGTGGGTGAAAGAGTATAAGTTATGTGCCCTTGGGCTGATTCCTTTACCGTCCTAAGCCTGAACTTCTTCAGGGACAAAACGAAGTAATTTTTCTTAACTTTGGGCTTACGTTGGCAGTTAAATAAGAATATGTGAAGTACCTGATCCAAAGCAGGCACTTCATTTATTTTCTATTAAATCACTTAAATTAATTCTTTTCCAAAATATGTCTTTTCAACTTCAAAGAATCCTTTGGAAATCTGCCTCAATTTTTATGTAGGTTTCTGGCTCTTTCTAGATTAAAACAAGCACTACTAAGATATTTAATCCTTTGGAATCCTGCCTAAATCTTTAATTTAATTCTTAGGCTTGTCATTGTGCTTTCAAATGCATTATAGCAGCCAGTCTTTCTTAACAAAACATTGCCCTGTCCTTTAAACTCTCCCTATGTCAGCTCCTTCCAAGGTGGATAATATAGCTCAAAATTGGGAATTTATAACTTTGATTTTCCAACTTTCAGTGATTCATATTATATTCAGTTGTGCATGACTTAACAACCCCCCGACAATGTTTCTCCACCATAAAACATGAATGAGACAAATCTTGGGGGAATCATTTATCAATTCCAATATGTCCACCCCAATACTATATGCTCTAGTAAGAACTAGTAAGGTGCTAGACGAGCATGGAAAGGTATCTATATGGTCTATAACTATTCTTCCACCAAAGAAAGATGTACAAAAGATCAAAGTGGAAGGTGGCTTTATGTTGATAGCAAGTATAAGGACAAACTGAATAGTCCTTGGATAGGCAAGCATTGAATATTTGTGGATGGCTACATAAGTTAATATATTATTCCTATTCAACTTCGAAAACCTAAGGTACCTGCTCGGAGGGTTCAGAAGATCTTTACCTGGCTCCTTCAGATGAATACCAATTGGGTTCCACACAACAAATCTTTTATTATCGAGAAAGCCAGATTGAGACTTTCTGTTAAAGGACAAGGATTTGACCTTTATTGGTTTATAGACAGAAAGTTTTTGGCAAAGAGAAACCTGAACATTTCCAAAGAAGACACAGAATGTTAAATGTTGGTTTCAATGTGTTTCAGGTAACTAATATATAAGCCCATCCATTATTCTGAAATTTTCTCATTCCATGTGCAAAAACAGAAAAATAACATTAACCTCAATGCATAGTTGAGGTGGTAGAATATGCAGGATTCAGAAGGTTTTTATGTAAGACAAACTATGGAAGCCTCTCAAAAAGAATAGATTCCTCCTTCAAAAAATAACAGTATCTATATTCATAATGTTAAATCTGAGCTAGAGATGTTTAGAGAGATCCCAGAGTGTGAAAAGTTAGATAACTTTGCACTAGTGAGGAACTTTGAGTATTAACATCTAGATTGTTGGATTTCAGAAGATTAGACTTGGAATGAGATTTTTTTTTTAATAAGCCAGGTAATTACTTTCAGAATAAGTAAGAGTATCTGGTATTTCATTCTAAAAACTATTAAAAACCCTACAAAAGGCAATATATATTAATAGCAGCTCATTACGGAACTGAATCTGGAGAATGAACAAAAATACACTAGTCTACTAACTCCCAGACTAGTCGATATAGAGAACATCCCTGAAGCTTCAATGAGAGATAGGAGGTAGAACCTGATTAGCTCAAAAGATATTGTACTTAAAGACATTCACATAAATTCAAAGATACAACATCCTCAAAAGCAAATTCAATAGAAGTAGGAACATTAGGAATTACACCCTTATCCTCTTCTTATTGACATCATGGAACTACATCCTCACAGAATGATTTGCAGTGCTTGATTTAGGGGATATCTGCTTTCTCAAGAAAACAGGAAGAAAAACAGCTAGGGTAATAATTTGAGTGTCTATCGTCAAGGTTCCAGCTGTAATGGGATATTTATCTCAAAGGCCAGATGCTTCTGACCTGGACACAAGTGGTACTTAATCTTGGGACCACTGAGATTTTTTAAAGTGCTTTACTCTATGACTGTATTACAGCTTATTCTGTTCTTCTATATTTCCAATATTTTAAGTGTTCACTTTCAAAGCACATATTAGAGAATCTAGTTATATTTCGCTGAAGGTACAGATACGAAATTAATGGGATGAATGAAAAGAACCAAAATTATTTATAAAATATTAAGGCTAAGAAAGAATACAAATATTTAATATGCTATAAAGGGAATGCTCCTATATTAAAGTAAAATGTTTAAGTTAGCAAAAGTTAATTGGAACATACTGATAATATTTACTATGCAACCCTGGCAATTACTTAGCCTCTCTGAGTCATAGTTTGCTCATCTATAAAATTGTGTTAATGAATCTTAACTATGCAAAGATTATATTTATAAAATATTTCACACATATTGAAGTATTAGGTAAAT